TCCAGCTACTTAAGAATAAAGACTTCTTTCATCCCACAAGTTCAGTTCTAAGAACAGTTAGCAATCTGGAAGGAGAGGGCCACCATCAAGTGTACTGAAAAGTCTATGAGTAGAAGAGGCTTTTGTGGGAAGAAAATCAGGAGTTCTGTTTGGCCATGTTTAGTCTGAACTCCTTATAAGACGTCCCAAGTGGAAGTATCAAGCAAGTCACTGCAGTCTGAGAAAGTGGTCCTTGCTGGAGTTACTCTTACAATTTTGGTGCAAAAAAACATTGCTTTTTTCATAAAATTTAGTGCAAATTTGCTAAAAACTAAAAATTTCCAGAAATTGTTAGTACTAAGGTACCTTTTATAGTTATTTTCTGGGTCAGGTGCAGTGGCTCACATCTGTAATCCCAGCACTTTGGGAGGCTGAGGCAAGACTGCTTGAGCCCAGAGGTTCAGGACCAGCCTAGACAACATAGCGAGACCTCATCTCTACAAAAAAATTTTAAAAATAAGCCTGGGCACAATGACTCACGCCTGTAATTCCAGCACTATGGGAGGCAAAGGTGAGAGGACTGCCTAAGCTCAGGGGTTTGAGACCAGCCCGAGAAACATGGCAAGACCTCATCTCTAAAAATCAAAAAAGAAGCCAGGTGTGGTGACGCATGCCTGTGGTTCCAGCTACTTGGAAGGCTGAGGCGGCAGGATTGCCTGACTCCAGGAGATGGAGGCTGCAGTGAGTCATGATCACACAACTGCACTCCAGCCTGGGGTGACACAGTGAGATACAGACTCAAAAAAAAAAAATTATTTTCTGTATTTTTAAGCTAACCAAAATAATTTTGAGAAAGAACTTTTTGCATGCGTACCACTGAACTTTCTATTTCACAATCATTTCTCCTTCTAGATATTCTTTCCTAAAAGAATAAAAAGAAAAAGGACTCATATAGCTGACATATCTTGGAGAGTCAAATGGACCTAAAATTAGGAATTAACATTGATAGAAATTCTGAAGTGATATCAGGTTACCTTCTTTATTTATTTATTTTTGAGTTCGGGCCTCACTCTATTGCCCAGGCCGGAGTGCAGTGGCACAATCATGGCTCACCACAGCCTCTACCTCCTGGGTTCAGGAGATCCTTCCATCTCAGCCTCTCGAGTAGCTGGGACTACAGGGGCACAACACCATGTCTGGCTAATTTTTTAATTTTCTGTAGAAATTAGGTCTTTCTATGTTGCCCAGGCTAGTCTCGAACTCTGGGTTCAAGTGACTCTTCCATGTTGGCCTCCCAAAGTGCTGGGATTGCAGGTGTGAGCCCCTGTACCCGGTCAGATTCCATTTCTAAAAAGTGTTCCTCAAACTGTGCTTCCCTGTATCTCCTCATGCACCAAATGGGCTAACATGCAGGCACTGCTTCCCTTCCATGCCATAACACTGGAAGAGAACACCTGTTGGCACTTGGCTCTTACTTCCTCATCCCAATCTAGCTTCTAGCCTTATTCTTCTGAAACTGCTTTCCCAAGAGTCCTAATCTTGGACACGCTTCCTCCCCCTTGTGAAAGCCCACTCCTCTCTGGGAACGTGGCGTTTTGCTTTCTCTCAGCTGGACTCTGCTAATTCTTCTCATCTTCTCACCTGCCAAATGCTGCTAAGTGCCTCGGGCCTAACTCCCTTTTGGTCCCACTCTACATGCTCCCTCTGGACATGGGCATTAACACCCTAACTTTCCCCTTTCTGTCTGTCCCTCATGCACCACGTATTTCAAATGTTTACCTCTGTTCTACCCACCTCACATTCTAAACCAGCACCGTTCGGTAAAAATGCAACGCAGGTCATACAAGCAATAGGAAATCTTCTAGGAGCCACATTTAAAAAATTAAAGAGGTCAAGTTAATTTCAATCTATTTTCTTTGATGCAATTCAAGATATTATCATTTTATAAAGTCATCAAGATAAAAATTATCCTTGACGTAGTTTATTTTTTCATACAATGTGTATTTTATACTAACAGCATCTCAAGTCGTAGTAACGACACTTCAAGTGCTCAATAAATACATCTGACTAGTGGCTACAGTATTGAAAAGTGTGGTCCTAAACATAACACAAAGCCACGTCTACAACCGAACTCGTCTTTTTCCTCGAACCTGCCCCTTGCATTCCCTGTATCACTGAGTAACAGCATCTGAGCAAACAGATCCAGGATGATCCCATACCCCTTCAGTCCCTTCACAGAAAGCAGCCAATCATCACTCAAGTCCTATCATTCCACTATCCAAATGTCTCTTCCATGTCTATATGGGAAGGACTCTTTGTAAGTCTGTTTGACCACTAAACTGTAATTCCGTTAAGTCAGGAACCATGCTTTCTCTTAATATCTTCAATACTTCGCATAGTGACAGACACAGAGTAGATACCCATTAACATCTGCTATGACAACCATTACCTATTTGCTATCGAAAGAAAATGAATGATGATAGAATCAGAAAAGTTTTCTGAGGCAGCAGAGAACTAAAATTCAGAATAAAATAAAAAGACTAGAGCTGGAAGCCAAAAAAGGAGTTAATCAACTGAAATGAAAGCATCATAAAGTCAAGAGAGAAGTCAATAAATTAAAATCCAAAAGTCTAAAGGTAAAGGTATGAGACAATAATTTGATTTAAAGTAACAAGGTAAATTTAAATATGATAAAATATCCTAAGTAAATAAACTTGCATTCATCACATTTGACTTTAATAAGTTATACTACACAATATATTCTATCTATAGGTTCACATCCAGATTCCTCACTATAATATTTGAGCTACTTTAGACTAAATAATCTTGTATTAAAATATATACATAAAGCTTCACACATTGGTAAAGCTGACTTGAACAGATCACAGACTTATAGGCTGACAGAATGTAAAAACAAATTAGTGACCATCTAGTCCAAGTCTCTTTTTTTACAGATGAACTAAGGACTACAGAATTGAAATAATCTGTCAAAGGTCATACAGCAAGTTAGCGACAGTTCTGCTATATTTAATATTCTGTTTCTGAGTACATAACAAAACTTACTTGTGTTACATTTTAAAAGTTAAGATAGAGTCGAGCATGGTGGCTCACACCTGAATTCCCAGCAATTTTGGATGCTGAGGAAGAAGGATCTCCTGAGGCCAGGAGTTCAAGATCAGCCTGGGCAACATAGCAAGACTCTATTGCTACAAAAAAAAAAAAAAGGTTGGGTGTGGCGGCCCACCTGTAGTCCCACCTCTGTAGTCCCACCTACTCATGAGGCTGAGGCAGAAGGATCCCTGAGCCCAGGAGTTCAAAGCTGCAGCAATCTATGATTGCACCACTAAACTCCAACAGACAGAGCACTACACTCCAACAGACAGGGCCCTGTCTCTACAAAATTTAAAAAAAATGAAAATTAAAATTAATAAATATTTGGAAGCCCAAGATACGAATATCATTTGAGGCCAGGAGTTTAAGTTCAGCCTGGGCAACACAGCTAGGCCCCATCTCTACCAAAAGAAAAAAAAAAGAATAAAATATTTTTTAAAATTAGCTGAGTATGGTGGTGCATGTCTGTAGTCCCAGCTACTCAGGAAGCTGAAACAGTATTGCCTGAACCCAAGAGTTGGGGGTTATAGTGAGCTACGACACACCATTGAACTCTAGCCTGAGAAACAGAGTGACACCTTGACTCAAAAAATAAATTAAAAATATAAAAATTATGATTAAAATCTGTGCTAGAGTAACCACACTACTTTAAGAAAAATGACAGTAGGATCAAAATCTACAGTACTTCTAAGCTAGTTAAGAATATAATTATATTTTAAAATTCTATATTTAAAACAACAAATTGAAATTCCATTTAGGAAAAATCCAAATGGTCAAAAACTGAATACAAAACTAAGAATGTGTAAGAAGAGCAAAGAACAAGAGGAGAAAAACAAATTATTTACATTTACAAAAGTAATTTTGTTTTCTTAAGCTTTTTTATAGCTCTAATTTTTAATAGACACTTAAAGGCTGCAGGCCATAGAAACTTAAAAGCTCAAGTCTTAATATGTATGCTTAAGATCAATGAGAAATGAAAATCCAGACAAAAATACATATATAACAATCTGATTTACCACCAGCAATTTTAGAGTAACACATCAGTGATGCAAATCTATTATGCTGAAAATTACTAATCTCACTAAATTTCAGCTCATTTTGAGAGGTTCTGGAAAATGTGGGCAAAAAAATCAAAAGTAGTTTCAAAATAAATATTCCTGGAATTTTAAAAATTAAATTAAAATAAGGTATTTGTATGAATCTCTTTAGCACAGTAGACAAGATTTAAGCAAATTGTATTTTATGGATACTGGAATTCCTATATACTATCATCATAAGGCTATGATGTCTTTATTTCCAGAAGGAAAAAGATAATAATTAAAATTATAAAGACTTTATTTTTAAACTTAGGTTGTCTACATATAGTTCCTCCGATAGAACACAGTTTTTTATTCACTTAATTCATAAAATCTTCAGCATCACTCAAGAAGAGTAATTTGGCCCGCTATCCAAACTAAAAATATAGTCGGTTATTTATTAAGTTGTGAGAAACAACAACACAGTTCAGAAAGAGTCCACAGAAACATTCCAGGTAGCCATCAGACAGACAGGAGTTAGAGTCAGGTATCCTGTCATCCTATGGTTATTACTACTTAAGAGGAAGTAATGGCATTAGTATTCTATTATCCATAAAAGTAATACACTTCTCCAAAAAGTATTTAAAATCCATATCTATTGCTTCCTAAATATTTTCATTAATCAAATAAAAGTATGGTGAAGGAAATTTCTACTAGCAGAACAGGGATTACTCTTATAGTCAATATCCATATGATGGCACATTGCATTCTGTACATTTAAAGATAGGCTATTATCAGTCCATTGTATATTTCAACATATTAAGTCTTGAATCACTAATCTGAAATTAAAGAAAAAGCCTTAGAGTATTAAAACCCCACACCTGAAAGACTTACCATTTTATCTAGATGTTCAATGGATCTATAAATCTCCCCCTGGGATTCATCATAGTAACTGTAACGGAACCTTTGACCTTGAAACAAATATCATGTACAAAATAAAATAGGGAAAAATTAGAAGCTAAAAAGAAAGCAAGCGCTTACCAAATCATTTCAGTTCTCATGAAAGGCAAAGCACAGCTTAAGCCTCTGAGAGAAACATTCCCAAAAGCCCTCATACATAAAAATAAAAGGCACATTTGGGAAGGTAATAAAGAAATGATATATCATCAGTGTTTTATGATGTTAAAAACTATTTCAAACTGTAGGAACCTTAAAGTCACCAGCAATACAAGATTAAGGAAACGAAACAGCTTAAAAGTTAGAAGCATTGTTAAACATTTTATCAGTCTATATTGGAAAGTAAACACAAAGAATATGATTCATGAAATGTGGTTTCAGAAAACTATCTCTGTAACAAATCAGTAAGAGCTTAGCTTTTGCTGTACAAATGTAAAGGTTTGATCTCTATCACAGAACAAAAATGTGTAGGTAAGAAATACTGTGGCTTGTGTAATTTTTATTACCTCAATTAAAAAAATTTACCTCATTTCTGCACTACTTGGGAAAGGATCAATAAAAGTGCCTGTGCCATGTGAAATGCACTAAATAGCCCTCCTCTCACATAAAATCTCAGTAACAGTATAAGCACAGAATATTCGACATTCAGCTGTTCTCCAAAGAACAGAGAGGGCAAAAATAGAGAAAGCTTAAAAAGAAGACAGAAAACAAAAGGCTTAGAAAATGAACTGTTTCTTACTATTAGTCATATGAAAATCAAAAGTTAAACACATTCATAACTAATTATGGATTGTTATTCAACTCACTACACGTATTTCAGATACACCCAACACTTTCAGCAACGGCTTTTCTCCAAGAACTCATTACTCCTCTATTTCCTTATTGTTCAAGATTCACTAAAATGCATTTCAAAAGGTATGAGGGTATACCAATTATAGAGTTATCTTGTGCTTCGTGTTGTGAGCAATGGTAATATACCCAATTACTAGCCTCACATCTGAAGAGATGCATTTCTTCTGTTAGATAATTAAGATTTTGAAGTATTCTGTTCATCTTACCAAAAAAAAAAACTCTTATAAATAATGGGCAGTACAAAATTATAAAACCTCTGACGTCTTTTTTTTTCCTGAAAAAAACCAAACTAACTATACATCCCAGAATTTAACACTTTGTTCATTTGTTGATACTGATCGTTGTTTCTAGTCACCTTTCTTTTTTTTTTTTTTTGAGCTGGAGTCTCACTCTGTCGCCCAGACTGGAGTGCAGTGGCCGCTTCCAGCCACCGCAGCCTCCACCTGCTGGGCTCCAGTGATCCTTCCGCCTCAGCCTTCCCAGTAGCCGGAATTACAGGCATGCGCTACCACGCCCAGCTGATTTTTTGATTTATTGTAGAGATGAGGTCTCACTGCCCAGGCAGGTCTCGAACCCACGGGCTCAAGCAATCCACTCACCTCAGCCTCCCAAAGGCATGGGATTACAGGCTGAGCCACCGAGCCCGGCTCTAGTCACCTTTCTAAAATATGCCTATTCCCTTTAATTCTCACATTTTAACTTTTCATATTAATATACACAACTATTCAATGTAGCACTTCTTAGACTCCCCCAAGAGCCAAATCAACATCGCCGCTTATATACTTAGCTGAGGATAACCTAGAAGCAAGTAGTGAGGTCTGAAATAAAATCTGCTTTCTGAATGTACGATGAAGACTACTGCATGTGTTCACAGCTATGAGATTTACTCTACTTCCCACACTGAAAGATTTCTTAAGATAACAATGATAATTTACCATTAAATGCCTCTACAGTAAATAATCTATCAAGCATTTCTTTAAAACTTAGACTTTAGAGGCTAGGCACAGTGGCTCACAACTATAATCCCAAAATTTTGGGAGACCAAGCCAGAAGGACTGCTTGAACACAGGTCAAGACCATCCTGGACAACCTAGCAAGACCTTGTCTCTACAAAAAATAACTAAAACAATTAACTTCCTGTAGTTCCAGCTACTTGGAAGGCTAGATGGGAGGATTGCTTGAGGCATTTGAGGCTGTGGTGCGCCATGATCATGCCACTGCACTCCAGCCTGGGCAACAGAGTGAGACCCTGATTCCAATTTTTTTAAAAATTAAAATTAGAAAGTATAAATATAGTTTTGGTTTTCTTTAAAGAATGTACGTACTTCATACATAACTAGCAATGTTGAGAATTATCTAATAAGAACTATGTAATTGACTCTATTTTTCTCATTTGCCAGGTGGCTGTCAGAAAGTTGCTCAAAGCCACATCTAAGACACAATAACCTATTGATTCAATTCACTGGAACTAACTTCTTACTTATATTTCAAAGTTCTTTTGATAAAGCTACCCAAAATCTTTTGTGAAGAATAAACATCTTAGACAAGAAAATTCTGACTCACTGTCAGTATAGTAAAAACAATATCCTAAGAAGAAATCAAGGTGCTATACACCTTGATTCTTTGAACCCAAACTGCTTCAGGTTTATACTCCTACGTTCTCTTATTCCGTGCTTCTGGAAATAGCTGATAGTTTTAGCTACTACTGATAAGCCTTATGACTATGACATAAGTGACCACTACTCCCAGGTGCAAAGAAAAATCAATATGCTTTGTGATAACCATTTGCTACTCAAAAGTCTTCTCTGCTCACTTCCAAGTTCAGAGCTACTATGTCAAATGGCTGAAGCTGGTCGGCTCATATTTTTAAAATGCTACCTTGCTCATAAGGACCGTTTTCTATGTAACTTTCACTTAAAAAATGACTTCTGAGGGGAAAGAAAAGCACATGAAATGTTGGAGATACTTTAAAATACAGAATCACCATGTGATTTAATGAGAAAGACAAAGTCCACAGAAAACCACTTGGGCCAACGAGACTCTCTGCCATCTACTTTCTGTGGCGCTTTAGTAGCCACGCCACATTTAGTAACTGAAAAACCGAGCACAACCACCTGGAGAGCTCTGGAGAACAATACATCAGTTAGGAGGCTACATTCACATACACAGAGCTCCTACACTGAATAGTCATTTCACTTACAACAACTTAAACTCTCTCATCAGGATTCTTTCTAACTGTGCAAATATTTTTCAATAATTTGGGCAATGCATTCTGGTGAATATACAAGCAGAAAGCATCTAATTTAAAGTAAATAGGGGCCAGCATCCTAGCCTGTATGGATGTATGTACGTATTTTTGTATGTGTGCACACATACACACACTTTAGTCAATCAACACTTGAATATTAAGCATTAAAGACCACTGTCTTGTTTTTTATTATTAAAAAGTTTCTCAAAATTTTATTTACTAATAAAGGAAATTAGAGCACAAGACCAACAAATTGATCATAAATGTATCGTTAGTTATTTACTTAAAATAAATTATAATTTTATGTATCTCATGAACAAATACATTTTACTTCACAGTTTTTTATATTTCTGACATTCGGTGAAGGTTCCAAATCTAATCTGAACAAATACAGTTGACCCTGTAGCTAGAGAACTGAACTTGGGTACTTTTATAAGCATGAATAAAGCATATCACATAGTAAGAGAAAATTACTTACCTGAAACTTATCCTTTCAGAAGGTACACTGGGAAAATGGATTCTGTGAGCCCCTGTTTCAACTCCAAGTATGAGCTTTCTAGCTTTAAGAGCCTTTTACACTGCCCTATGGGCAGCACAAGCTTTGCAACTCCCCTAGTGATAAGTCAGTAGTTTCTTCAGGTGCCTTCCCTCAGTTCTTTTCAAATTCAAAAGATGAGAGGAAAAATAACCCAAGAAAAAAAATCCTGTAAAGCAGAAACCTTACTCTTTGAGGGAAGGAGGGTAGCTCATTTGTGAATCCATTCCAGAGCACGCTTTCTGAGAAAAAGAAATACAGGTAAGTAATTTTCCCATCTCCAAAGGTGACTGGTGATTAATGAGTGGATTCACAGAGTGTGGAGAGTAAGCTCCAGGGATGTCTGTTTCACACACAACAATCAACTAATGAGGACAAACAGAACAATGAATGGTACAAGAACCAACACTACTGTTTAAGTACCTTGAAACAAAAGGTAAGAAAAATTAAATACCTCAACATTAAACTATGCACTGGACTGCAGAAATAAACAATGACCTTGGAAAGTTGATCTATAAAGTCCCTAGAAGACCAGTCAATAAGACAGATGTCTAATAAAAACTATACTGTTACACATTCACTTAATCATTTTGTGTACATGTCAAACCACTTACAAATATTTGAGTTAAACCTCACAACAACAGTGAGACAGGTTATTAGGCTATTCTATACTCAGGACCTAACCTGAGGACATTCACAACTAAAATCACTATCAAAGAAAAAACGTACTTCATAATGGAAATATGATCTGAATAGCATTAAATAAGGTAATCATTTTTAAAAGCTAAATACTAACATCCTTTCATTCTGAAGTCTTGATTATAATATATAGATATTAGCCTTATCTCAAATCTGTAGAGTCCAAAACTAAATATGCAAAATCAGTATGTACAAATATTTGAGAAGACAGATATGAAGGCTTGGATAAGATATAATTTAGGAATTAGCTAACTTAGACTCAAACCAATTTAAATATTTAGAAAACAGCAATATCCTTGTACCCAAGAGACAAACAGAAAGGAAGAAGAGTATGCATGAGTAATCACTTATTAATAAATATTTTTGGCCGGCCTCGGTGGTTCAGCCTGTAATCCCAGCGCTTTAGGAGGCCGAGGTGAGTGGACTGCCTGAGCCTGTGGGTTTGAGACCTGCCCGGGCAACTTGGCGAGACCTCATCTCTACAATAAATCAAAAAAAAAAAATTAGCTGGGCATGGTAGCACGTGTCTATAGTTCCAGCTACTTGGAAGGCTGAGGAGAAAGGATTGCCAGAGCCCAGCAGATCAAGGCTGCGGTGGCCAGGAGTGTGCCACTGCACTCCAGTCTGGGCGACAGAGTAAGACTCCGACTCAAATAAATAAATAAATAAAATTAAATAAATATTTTTAAAAATCGGAATAAGATATAAACTTCATAAATACTTAGGGGAATGCAGCTTTTAATAGGTGGCACATATTTATTTTTAAAAAGAAATTATATAAAGCAAGACAAAAAAAAGTTTGTGGGAAAAAATTGCTGAAGAGACTATTGAACTCAATTCATATTTTAACAGAATAATATAATGTTAGACATTAACAAATAGATTTATTGAAACCGACTTGCAAAACCATCATAAAAGGCAAATCAAACAAAAACATGATTCCAGTTTTGTTTTTTGTTTTGCTTTTATTAGAGATGAGTTCTCACTATGCTGCCCAGACTGGACCCAAACTCCTAGGCTCAAGCCATCCTCCCGCCTCAAGCCTCCCAAATAGCTGGGACTACAGGCACAAGTCATCACACCCAACTCAGAACTCCACTTTTGAAGAACTGATTTCTGTTAGATCCATTTAGAAGCTTAGAAGTTAAATGAAAATTATGCTAATAAAAGTCGTCAATAATCAAAATTTGGAAATATAAATTTCAGGAAGGTCAGAAAAACACAAATATTAGCAGCATATATGGAGAAGGGCAAAACTAAAACATGCGAAAATAGAAAAAAAATTCTACTAATTAGATAAATTAAAATAGATCCAGACAAAATTATCTGATACGGAGACATATAGGATATGGAACTTGTTAAGCACAAAATCAGGGAATAACGTACTTAACCTTGGTAAAAATCAAAAACCACTAGCAGCAAATGCCTTTTCACTGATTCTACTTCCTGCTGTAACAGGAAGGATGAAATGAGGTGAGATATTTTAAGTGTTACCTCAAAAACATGCTCTGGTGCTGACTAACGCTGATGAGAGAAAAGGCAGGAAGTGAAATGCAGTTTCCTTTTGAGGAACTCAAACAAGGAGACAGAAAGAAGGGGGCTGATAGCATCCAAGCTCCTGGCCAGGCGCGGTGGCTCATGGCTGTAATCCCAGCACTTTGGGAGGCCAAGGCGACAGGACTGCCTGAGTCCACAGGTTCGAGAAGAGCCTGGGCAACTTGGCAAGACCTCATCTCTACAATAAAAATCAAAAAGTTAGCCGAGCATGGTGGTGCGTGCCTGTAATTCCAGTTACTTGGAAGGCTGAGACAGAAGGATCACCTGAGCCTAGCAGGTCAAGGATGCGGTGGCCCTGAGCATATGCTGCACTCCAGCCTAAGACTCCAACTCAAAAAAAAAAAAAAAAAAAAAAAAAAATCTGGGCTCCTGTCATTCCCTTGGCTTGTCTCATCCAAAAAGAAAACTTGGGAGCATTTTAGTCTTTCTACTTTTCTCTCTCTAATGTCTCTTCAAGTCTAAATAAAAGCTATACGGGATCTGAACAATGAACATCTTTAAAGTAACATACGTCTTAACAAAGTCAACAGGGAAAAATCTTTCCAGTGTACACACAGGAATCCCAACTGTGTCTATCACCAAGTTGTTTGATTTTTTGCAAAAGCTGGACAAAATGTAGAGAATCAATGACTGAAAATGAAAAATGTAGTCACTGCCAGCAATCCAATGTAATATTATTTAACGAAAACATTTCAACCGTGTTTACCTGAGTAATCTGTCAAATGTACTATAATCAATTAAGTGATTTTTCTTCAAAACTCAGCTATTTAGAAATGTAGAATAAGCCAGGCTCGGTGGCTCAGCCTGTAACCCCGTGTCTTGGGAGGCTGAGGTAAGTGGATTGCCTGAGCCCGCGGGTTCGAGACCCGCCTGGGCAACTTGGCGAGACCTCATCTCTACAATAAATAAATAATTAGCCAGGCATGAGAGATAGCGTGTGCCTGCAGTTCCAGCTACTTGGAAGGCTGAGGGGGAAGGATCGCCGGAGCCCAGCAGGTCGAGGCTGCAGTGGCTGGGAGTGGCCACTGCACTCCAGTCTGGGCGACAGAGTGAGACTCCAACTCCAAAAAAAAAAAAAGAAATGTAGAATGTGTTAGGAAGTAACCCAATGAACCTAAGGTCTCTACATACTCTGCAACTGAATCTTTCCTATGAAATTATATGGAAGTCAGTATTATAATTGTTTTTTGTGCTGTAAAAAATCAATCTGCATAGTACCTTTTTAAAAAGAACAAAAAACCCACAGGTATTATCTTCATAAGAAAAAGCTAAATCTTTGAGACAGTATAATACTCTTACGGAAAGATGCCCAATGACACGCACGAAGTTGAGAAACTTGAATCTTAATTCTTAAGTAAACATAGCTTTACCCATAACTAGCCAATAATTCATATGGCTTCAAGAGGCAAGCAAAATAGAAAATGTATCTGACTTTACAAGAATGGCAGCTACTATTACAAGGGCAGCAATACTGTCAATTTTGGTATATCATCTCTGTAACACCTTTCAGTTGCCCCCGAACACCCAACAAATTTCTTGATAAGAATTAGTATAGTGCTTTCCATAAGTACAACGTAAATAATGAGTATTATTAGTGATGGTGATACTAAAAAACGAACACTTGGAAAAGTTCTGTTACTTAACCACCAAATATAAATATGTTTTCGTCTCTGGACAATTCTCATAGCGATCATTTACCAATCTTCAAAAATTCTGAGTTCAGTTTTGTACTTAACAACTGGAAATCCTAGCTTATAATTTAGATACTAAAATTTCCAAAAGATCAGGAGAAAAAAAATGGCCTTAAATAATCTGAGAACCTAAGTAGGATGTAAAACAACATTTCTTTTTCTCTCTCAACCATTGTAGTTACATATAATAGTGAAATGTAATTTGTTTGCTTTAGAATTCTTTACTACTGAGGTAAAAGGGATGATTCTACAGAAAAGAACCACATTAAGAAGTCTACTGATGTTTCATGTGGATTTATGTTATGGCTGGACATGTCGCCAACCTAGAGAGAGAGCACTCAAATTATAAAGATTAATGTCAAGGGAACTCATTATTTAAATCAAGTAATAAGAACCTTAAAATGAAGGAGGAGGGGGCACTTGCTTCAAGAATCTTAATTTCTGAAACATGGACATGCTGTTACCAACACAAATTCACAATGCTAAGAAAAATAGCCTTTTTCCAGTAATAATTCTTCTTATATTTAAGGTCAACTATTGCTAAATTTCAAAACTCCCAAGAAAGGAACTCTTTTTAACCATCTACCTAGCCCTAAGATCTATGGACTATACTTACAAGCAAAAAATATAACTTCTGGCAAAAGACAGCAAGCATACCAACAAGTCAAAAGAATTTTTTATTCAAGACCCTGAGAACTTCTTTGGGGGTTTGGTAAGGAAACACAGCTACATGCAGAACCTAACTCTGGGGTTCCCAACCTCAGCACTGTTGACATGTTGGGTCTAGTAATTCTTTGATGTGGGGGCTGTCTGGTGCACTGTAGGATGTCTATTTAGCAGTTTCCCTGGACTCTACAAGTTAGGTTGCCACCCCTCAAACCATATCCCAATTGTGATGATCGAAAATGTCTCCAGGCATTTTCAAACACCCCCTAAGAATGCAATCATCCCTCACTGAGGATAAGTGCCATATGCAAAAAAATTATCTCTGTCATCTTGGAAGGTAGTTCTCTTGAACTGAAATCTCAACTTAAGAAAGTCATTCAGAGAGGGAAACAAGAGAAGACGCCAGCCTAACTAGACCAGATAAATGCTGAGTCAGTTCTGGCAATCAATGGGAAAGAAATTGTATGAAACTGTATTTCACTGAGGATGTTTTTCTGACCATTCTAGCATTCTATCTTAAAAACTATGGTCTTATATTTTATGTTTCTTATACTCAAAGAAATAACTGATAAATTAACAGATACTGGCATCCTTAAACCAATGAATAAATGGGTCAAGAGATGTCCCAAAAGAAACGAAACTTAGAAATATGCTAGAATAGTAATGGATAAATGAAGGCAAACTGCATTGAAAGAATGTAAAAACAAAGTTTACTAAGAGAGGTATCCATATAGGTCTCACTTACTTTATGATCTATTCACTGTGAAGCATCCCGACTCTTTTTATTCCCAGTAACCACAAAAATCACTTTAGAGTCCTTATTTTTCCAAAGCATTATCAGTGAAGACCACAGTGCTAATGGCCACTGTGTTACAATCTTCGAAGGGCAACTCTAAGCTGATGGCAATTGTGGGCAAAAAATAAGTCCCGAAGTAGAAAAAGAAAGAAAGACTAATAACAAAAAATGAAATGTGGGAAAGGACTGGCATAGGACACAGTGCTTTTCTATATGCTAAAGAACAACATCTGCTTCATCCACCAAACTAACTTCAGAAAACCTACTATACACACCTGCCGGGAAACAAGGCTAGAAAATCTGATCCCTCTGACAAGTGCCTCAGCAAGGATGCCTCACAGTGTGAATCCAATTAGACCAGTCGCCTTTGGAAATGTATTCACAGCCCACTATTGTCATCTGATCCTTTTTAAATGACCAAAAGACTTTTTTATTCACTTTTAAATATTGCTGCTAAAAGTAAAACTTTCCAAGGAAAGTGATAAAGAACTGAAAATCAGAACTTATGTCGAAAAAAATACCTTTAACCACAAATTAACCAAAATTATCTACCATGATATGTTAAAATCTAGAACTTACCCCAGTGGCAGAAATCAGAGGAAACCACAAAGAGATTACTAGGATCCGCTAGATATTTACTGAAGAGTTTTCCGAATTCCTGTTCTTTTGACTCACTCAGAGCTCCAACCAGTACAGGAATAATGGTAAACTCATCCTTATGGCTTAAAGAAAACAGAAAAAAAAATGGTTTAAGAATAAAAATAGTTTTCCAAATGTATTGGCACTAGAAAGTGGAATATTTATTAATAGTGGTAACATACATAATATTATAGTTGAATTCTTAACATCTATAAATTAAACGTTTAAAGAGGACGGTTTAAAAATATGAGAAGTACAGAATACTAAAAATATCCATTTAAATTATAGAAATGAACACTATTTATTTAGGTAAAGAAAGCTATTTTACTACCAAGTATAATAATATCTTCGAAAATAAAAATAAGCCCATCAGAACATCACCAACTCAAGTCTTCTCAACTACCTACCAAGGTTACAATCCTCTGCCAAGTCCTTCTGTGATTTTAAAAGAGCATTAAACTCTTCCTCACCAGATTTAATCCTATCCTATTATGAAAACCATCATTTCTGGCACTTGTTCTATAAACCTCCCAAGTGACAGCTACAAAACTTAATCTTGGCTCTTGTAAGATTCATCAACTGCACTTTTACACTTATCCTAATGATCAGATACAAGACAGTTTGAAGACACAACTCAAATTTTCTTGGCATCTAGAGTAGACAAAGAATTCAAGGAAGCATTAATTTCTAGTAGCAAGAAAAAGACATCACACCCACCCACAATGTTTATGGCATATCCACAACTCCCTTTGTCACTCCACAGATTGACAGATTTATGGTAAAGGAATAAAGCAGATTAATAAAGAATAACTATGATGTGCTATAAACTAGATATCCATCCAGAGCCTTTAAAGAAATTTGTATTGTAGTGAAATTTTACTTACATATATTCAATATTATTTATATCCTAAGTGATCCCAGATTTGGAATTTTAGAAGCATAAGTCATGTTTGTCTGACATGTTCTAAATAGGATTTTTTTTTAATCACCATTATAATAAATGCTTTCTAATATGATAAACAGGCACTTAACTGATATAGGACAAATGGAATTCACAAAAGTTTGTTAAAATATTAAATAATCCCAAAATAAATGTTAGCCCAGCTGCATAAAGCTAAATTCAGGGCACCCAAACGCCTCCCCCATAAAGGCCCCCTTACCCTTGTCAATTGCGAAATAAACAGATCATACAGATCTCCAGTCCCTCTGCAATGCAGGGGCTTCTTGGGCAGAATCTGCATCTAGGGAGTAAGAAAAAAAAAGGAAGCTGGCAGGAGAAGCTGCCACGGGATATCTCTTTCTCTGACTCTTACCAGTTTGCTAAATAACTGCCTGAAGGAACAGGGGCTCTTTAGTTAGTCAAGAGTGATTACCAGTTGAAAGAAAAGAATTTCAGCTCCTGGTAAAAACTTAGGAACACCGTTATTAGTTATTCTTACCTCAACTACTACCTGCATAAATAAATACACTAAGATCATCATCAAAGAGTCTGCAAGCAATTATGATATGACAGAGAAGCAGTCACACAGAATATAAAGAGCAAGGAGAAGCCAAAAGAAATGAATTCAAGGGCCATCCCCACCACATACACATGCTGAGCGCACAGGCAGGTCCCCAACCTGAGAATGTACTTGCTTTTCTGTACAATGACAATGACAACACCTTCTGCATAAAATCATAATGAAGCGAAGAATATTATAGGAAAGACACTTTGTCTGTCAACTATAGTTGGCAAAGAAGAAACAACACGTGCCTTCTCTCCACAAGAGTCATCAAATCTTTCCATTAATCTGTTGGAGCTTGCAAATCGATCTATCTACAGAGGTAAAAGTCTTGTCCTCTGTAGAAACCCAGGACCTGAATCAAGGCTCATCCACCCATCCCTCTTTGTCATTTCTCTTTTTAAAAATGACTCATTCTTTATCCCCCACAGATAGAGAAGAATGAATTAGAGAAAGACCATCTGGTTTTGAAATGTAGCATTCCTAGGTCTTAAGATCCACGTTCTCAAATTGGACTTCTCAGTGAAGGAATACAAAATCTCACCTCTGAGAATCAATTCTAGAACAGGATAAGACTGTCAAAAACAATCCTTTTTGTGCTGGAGATTAACCAACACACACACACACACACACACAAGTTGATGCATGAAAACTAACTGAACTCCTTTGAAGGACAGTGGCATTCTGGCCTTTTCCCAAGTGTTGCCTCCATCCCTACCCTCTGTTGACATGGTAGCTCCACCCAGGTGAGGCTGGCCACGAAAACCAGCAGCTCCACTGCCAGAGGGGAGACTCAAACTGGAGCAGAGAGTAAAAATCCCGTACCCAGCAAAAAACAAAAGCCCTGCAGTCTTATCACCTGAGACTGCTGCACTGGGTTGAGCAAGCCACAACCCTGAAGACTAGCTAGAAAAGTAACAGGGAGAATCTTAGAAATGAGAGAGCCATATCATGGGAGGAGTGTGATAAACTCTCCACATATCCTGAGGAGAGGCCTGGGCCCTCCACATACACAGGCTGACAAGGAAGCTGCACTCATGTGCAGGGGAAACCCATGCCATCCCAAGTTCCCCACAGAATGCCAACCCAATAGGAGACTAAGAGGATACACACAGGGGAAACTGAAGAGTACAACCCAGGATGACAGAAAATCTGCATGCATGCACAATGACTCATCAAGCGCACTGTGATCACGCAGCAGACAGCAAAAGAGGCAAACGTGAAAATACACAGTCACTTTTTGGTTTTAGTAAGAGATAGGGTCTCCCTAGAATTCTGGGCTCAAGCGATCTTTCTGCCTTAGCCACCATAATAATCCATCAACAGAACATGAGAGCCTACCTGGCTCAAGGTGTTTAGGGGCAACCTTCAACCAATCAGCAGCTAAGGACTGATCTATGCAATCACAGGTGGAAAGTGTAAAAAGCTAAAAATTAAAAGTTTTTTAAAGCTAAGGAGACACATCAGTAGCCACACATGGTGGGGGAGACAGATTCCACAGCTGAAGTCCACAGAAGTTACTAAATAAATATAACCTGCAGAGGAAAAAAAAATTAATGAAATCAGATTCCAGAGTTGCTAGAATATACTATATAAATGTCTGATTCCAATAATATTATATAGGAAAGAATCTGAAATTACAGACAAAATAATTATCCAATCAGAAGAACAGAGAGGAAAAAAGAAGAAAAAATATTAAAGAAAAATAACAGAGCATTGGAGACTTATAAACAGCATGAAGCATACCAGCATACATGTAATGGAAGTCCCAGAAAGGAAACAGTAAAAAGATTAGATGAAATAACAGTTGAAAACTTTCCAAATGTCACAAAACATTTATCTACAGAACCAAGAAATTCAATAAGCCCAGAGGAGAAGCACAAAGAGATTCTAGCCTAGATAACACTATAATCAAACTGCTGAAATCTTGAAAGCAGTAAAAAGAAAGCAACTTATCGCATATAGGATAGTATTTTCGATAACTGGTACTGGGATAATTGCATATTCATATACAAAAAAAAAAAATGAACCTGTCTCTCTCCTTCACACCCTGTACAAAAATTAACTCAAAGAACTGTAAGAACTAAAACTAACACTTCTAGAACAGGAGTCAGCAAATATTTTTTGAAAAGGGCCATAAAGTAAACAGTGTAGACTTCCTGCTGTAGTCTCTACAGCAACTACTCAACAGTAACTGCAGAGGGAAAGCAGACAGAGACCAACATGTGAATGCATGGGTGCGGCCACAGATCGATGAAACCTTATTTACAAAAATAGGCTGTGGGTCAGATGGGGTCCAAGGGCTACAGTTTGTTTTGTGTGTCTAAAATAAATCAAAAAATGGGTGGCACGCGCTTGTGGTTCCAGCTACCTGGAAGGCTGTGGTGGAAGGATCACCTGAACCCAGTAGGTTGTGGCTGCGATAGCTGGGGTCATGCCACTGCACTCCAGCCTGGGTGACAAAGTGAGGCTCCGACTCAGAAACAAAAGAAGGAAAGAAAGAAAAAGTTGCTCGACATCAGTAATCATTAGGGAGACACAAATTAACACCACAACGAGATTACACTACACATCTATCTGAATGGTTGTAATAAAAATACTGACAATAACAGGTAATGGCCAAGATGTGAAGAAACCGGAGCCCTCACACACTGTTCCTAAAATATAAAACGGTGCAGGCACTCTGGAAAACAACTCAGTTGTTTCTGAAAGCACATAAAGAAATGCTCAGCATCAGTAGTCAAAACATAAATTTATCATATGAACAAACAATTTCCTTCCTAAGTATCTACTCAAGAAAAATGAAAATATGTGTTGACATAAAGACTTGTACAAGAATTTTTATAACAGTATTCATAATAGCCAAAAACTGGAAGTGGTCCAATTGTCCACCAACTGGTCAATGGATAAGTAAAATATGGTATATTCATATAAAGAAATAATTATCTGGCAATAAAAAGGAATGAACTACTGATACATGCTGCAACATAGGTAAACCTCAAAAATAGTGTGCTAGGCAAAAAAGGAAAGACACAAAAGACTACATTTTGTATGATTCCATTTATGTAACATTTCCAGAAAATGCAAACCTAGAGACAGAAAGCAGATTAATGATTGGCTGAGGTTGATAACAGAGACAAGGTGTGACCTCAAATGGACACCAGGTTTCTTGTTAGAATAATGAAAATGTTCTAAAACTAGATTGTGAGAATAGTTGCACAACTCTATACATTTACATTTTAAAAAATCATCGAGTTGAGGCTGGACGCCCTAGCACTTGTTCTTAACCCAGCTATTCAGGAGACCGTGGAGGGAGGATCACTCCAGCCCAGGAGTTAAACTCCAGCCTGAGCAATACAGGGAGATTTCCATCTTTAAAAATTTTTGAGCGGGGCTCGGTAGCTCAGCCTGTAATCCCAGAATTTTGGGAGGCTGAGGCGAGTGGATTGCCTGAGCCCACGTGCTAGAGACCAGCCTGGGCAACTTGGCGAGACTGTCTCTACAATAAATAAAATAAAATTAGCCGGGCGTGGTAGCACGCACCTGTAGTTCCAACTACTTGGAAGGCCGAGGCGTAAGGATTGCTGGAGTCCAGCAGGTCGAGGCTGCAGTGGCCAGGAGCATGCCACTGCACTCCAGTCTGAACGAAAGAGTGAGACTCCAACTCAAAAAAAAAAAAATTTTGAGATGAGTTCAATTCTTATATGAGTGAACTTAATAGTGTGTAAATTGTCCCCTGATAAATCTGTTTTAGAAAAAAAAAAGAAAACCCATCTTTGCCACTGACAAATGGTGCCACCTGCAGCATATTACTATCCTAAGCCTCAACTGTATCGTCAATAAAAACAGGGCTAACAATACTTTACAGGGCTTTGGTAAGCACTTTAATAATGTAGAGGAACATCTTATCCCTTCTTTTCCTGCCCTATAGCTTAAGCCATGCTGCAGAAAATTTACATATCCAAGATCTGTAACAGATTAAAAAGAGTTGAAATCTCTGAACCAATAATGAAGCCCTCTCTTTAAAAACAAAACCACTGTATCAAACAATGTTCTTACTGGAACAGAGTATGAAAACTCTAAATTCTAACGTGAAAATTCTACTTCTAATAAACAATATGAATTCTAACATAAATATTCTGAGTTAAAAGAAAAAAATTAACTAACTGGTTTTTTTGTTAGTGGAATGTAAATAATTGAAATCTTGAACATTTTTAATTTGATTAAACAGTGTATAATATAGTTACTTGCTCATCTTGTCCTGCCACTTTTTAAAATATTCTCCCCAGACAACACTGAATATTGACGAGTATTTTCTTTCCTATACAAGTTATTCCAATTTCCCAAAGATTCTAGAAGCAATCCTAAGCTTATTAAGATCAAGAAAAAATTAAATCATAACAAAGACAACTACAATTTTGGTCAGTCAAAAAGGAAATCATTCTTATCCCTAAGATGCCAAGTTTGTTGCCTCCTCCCCTTTTAGTTTGAAAATACTCACAGAAAAAAAAAAGGAAACAAACCATATGACGGTAAATACTTTTTAAAACTTTATTTTGACAAAAATAAAATATATTCTAATCTTCTCAAATGTCGATTGCTACATGCTTTTTATGTCTTCTTCATGCTTTTTATGGTCAAAGAAACTGAAAATGTCCCACTACTACCAAAACAGAATGTTTCTGACTATTCAAAAGCCCCTTCCATGTTCTGCAACTCTAAAATACGTTCTCCTGCTGATGTATAGGTGATACTAAAAGGCACTCAACATACACAAAAAGGGAAACTCAGAAGCATATAAAGAAAAATCATGCTTGCTCTAAAAGTTCAATAAATGCTCTCAAATCAGCAATAAAAACAATTTAACTGCAAGACATATGCAGAAACTTACAAGTAACCATGAGTTTTTAGAAGTGAAAGAATAAGGAAACATTTGAAAAATGCACTGTTCTTGTGATTGCCGTTAAGCTGGGCAGAGATAGAGATTCCCAGGCTGCTTATATCCAGAGACTAGCCATTCCACTCTCTATAAACTACCTATACAAGAGCCAACCATACATTTCTCTATTTCTAATAACTGAAGACCTTCATTGAGGTCACAATCAGAAAGAAAAGGAAAAATCTTAAGATCTAGTAAAAACTAAGCCATAATAAAAGTTAGCCTGGCATTTCAGAGAGTCATAAATTCAGGCAGTCAGAGTGGCAACATGATAACCTGGAAACTGGGCAGAGGTATGGGAGTTTCACAGGGGAGGTGACCCAGCAGGCTGCAACGCCTCAGAGGCTGTTGGTAAGACAGGTTCTTGGCTGGCATCTGGGAACGTGGCTTTTAGAATATTCCGTATGCAGATGAGGCTGTTCTACCCACTTGGACATGAAACTGCGACACCAGCTGACTGAGCTCATTTATACACCATGTGATTAGATGTGGTTGAGTCCTTTCCTTCTGAGAATCTGGAATGTTGGTAATCGTGGCTAGCTACAAAGACAGAGTGCCCACATGACCAGTCCCCAGTAAAAAGCCTGGGTGTTGACTCTTGAAGCAGGCTTCCCTGGGGGAGGCCAAGCACTGAACGCCTGCAGTTGGTTTCCTCCACATTCTGCCTCATGTGTTCTTCCCTGCTGGTCCTGCGGCACATCGCATCTTTTCTAAGAAACCATAATAAATACAAATAACTGCTTCTATGTCCGGTGAGACCTAGAGAATTCCCAAAGGTGAGGGAGATTTGAAACCTTCAGAACAGGTATCAGAGGCCAAATGGCATGGAAGAAGCATGACAGTTCTTAGGGAGCCTTATGATGAATCCCTTTGTTCACCTTTCTTTCTTGATCAAATTCACCTTCAGACCCAAGGGACATGCATACAGAATTTATTCAGAATACTCTGACTCACTGTGTGAAAAAACTAAGAAGATTCAGAACACAGACAGAAGCAAAGAACTGGGACGGAGGCAGGGATGGGGGAGGAGAAGCTGTCAATGACAACTAGACTAGCATTTAAATCAATACAAACCTTGATCACTTAAATGACTCTAATTAGATTTCCAAAATCAAATTGAAAGATTATGTCTTTCTGAATTCCCATTCAAGTAGGAATGCTCTTAAGAAAGGTTTTCTAAGAAAGGGCATGTTCCAGGTAGGTACTAGACAGTCATACTCAACTCCATTTTAGAAACCCAACTATCTGAAGCTACTATGAAGCGAACAATCCTGCCATAGAATGGCCAAGTTAGTTGTCAAAATTACAGAGAGGGCCCCACTTCGGGAGGCCAAGGCAAGAAGACTGCTTAAGCCCAAAATTAGAGACCAGCCTGGGGAACACAGCAAGATCTCATCTCTATTTATTAAATAAACAAATAAAATTACAGAGGAATTCCAGTATTTTTTTTAAAGACAAGTCAACATCTTTATACTCTACATTCT